GCACTGCTCAGCTATTGAAAAACTATAGCCTCTCTCTCTGGGAGAGAAAAAAATTAGAAAAAAAATCTTGTGCTATATGCCCTGGTAAATACTATGCTATGCTGTGATGTTTACAGAACACTTAGTTGTTTTAAGAATTTTCAGATAATAACCATTAAATCCTTGTAGCAGTTATATTTACCTCATGGAAAGGGAAAAAGAGATACCAGAAATTTAAACCGACCCATGTGATCTTCCTCAGGTTAGTGGGCAGAGCAAGGATGCAACCTCACAAAGGTTCTTGCTATCCATCCCTCAGCTTAACCTCCTGCACAGTTTGCAAAGGCAAAAATAGCAAATCACACTCCCAAAGCTGCTGTAAGCATTTTCTTTCTGCTGCAGCTTCAGGAGAGCCTGGTATCTGGCAGCAGAGCTCCTAAGGGTACATCTCCCTCTGTGGGTGCCAAATCTTTCTGTACATGCGATGATCTGTATCCATCTTCTACGGGATCTGCTTCCTGATAGTGCTCTAAGGGTTTGATCCTCCGCTTAAGGTCAGGATTCATCCTGTATACAGGCGTGCTTGATGGAGGACACTGCAGGACGTTGCTGAGTCATGCACCAAATCTGTCTGTGACAGTGCAGAATGCTGCAGGGACCACATTAATGAAACATCATTTAGGCTGAAAAGACTTGTCTTTGTTATCTTCCAGTGGCAGACTAGTGTGAGAATGTTAAAATACTGTATTAAGTTAGTTGTTATAGGGAAGGAAGAAGAATGATGCTTCAGAGTTATATGTCCACTAAAATTGAAGTTTGGATAGTATGCATTCAGAAATAATTTTATTTTCCAGTAATGACAATATGCAATATCACGTAAGAAATGAAATTGAAGAATTGATCTTATTCTTCAAATACAGGATAGCTTCAATATTAAAATTAACATATAAATTTAGCATCAATCTTATTTCCCCACTCACGTCTGTTGAGTAAATGCACATAAAGAATGAATCACTGAAACAGTATACTGAGAGAATCAAAGTCATTTTTCAAAGGTGTCAGCACAAATGTGAGGTGAGCCTGTTCACCAAGCATCCAACAAATGCTGTAGGGGTGGCCCTTCAAGCCCATAAGCTGGACAAGTCAGGGACCCCCAGGAGGAGCAGCACAACCACCAGCAAAGGCAAGGTAGGGAGGAATTTGGGGCAGGACAGACATTGCACCATGCTTACACCGCACCCCAACTCTTCCATTATCTACAGGTATGTGAGCCCCTGGACAATGTGAGTATTGCATTAGGGCTCTCCACAGCACTCCTGAGGGAGAAATTATTATTATTATTATTATTGTTTACATCATTGGCCTTATTCACCTTGTCACAGCTAGAGGTTAACGAGCAGGGATTAAGCAGCACGCCTCCCAGGCAGCAGCCAGCCTCTGCAGAGTGCACTGCTCTGGTCTCTGGTGGGCCTGCGTGGCTGCAGATGACAAGCAGAGCCATGGGCAGAGACAGCTTCCCGTGCCATTGCCCGTTGGTTTTGTGTGCACCCATGGAGAGTTGACAGTCAAATCACCTGCCTGGCAGGAGAAAAAGCAGCCCTGGCACCCCAGAGAGGCACCCGGGCAACTGCTCAACCAGGAGCAGGAACTCTGCAGAAGGCAAGAGGTGAAGCTCCCTTGCCACAAGAAAGGCACAACCCTCAAGCACTTTTTTTTTAAAAAAACAAAACAAAACAAAACAAAACAAAACAAAACAAACCAAACCACCTTTGTTTCTGGGCTTCAGCAAACACCTCGCCAGGCTATAGCCGTCTTTCCTAATGCTCAAATTCACTTTTTCCGCTGGAGACTTCTGAGCATCAACGCCTCCAGCTTTACCCCTCCTCACCCATACGTCGTCTTCCTTCCACGGCACGATTTGCTCCGACATAGAAATACCCTTTTTTACCACAAGATGGGGCCTGGAAAACGCAGGGTTTGGGTGCCGCACCCGCATCCCTCCGCCCGGGCTCCGGGAGCCGTGGGGGAAGGATGCTGCAACGCCGCGGGAGCTCTGCGGGCTCAGGACACAGCCCTGCTGCTGCCAGCTGCGGTGGCACAGCTGTCACCGACCCCGGGAAAAGCAGGGACTGAGCCAGAATGGGGCCCACCAGCTTTGGGGTGGCTGCTGCGCGCCCCGGCTGGACGGGGCACCCAGGGCTCCTGCAGAAAAGGGGATCCCTCGAACATCGGTTGCCCACGCTGCAAGGGTGGGAGAGGGTGAGCATCCCCCAGCAGCACGGCGAGAGTCTGAGGAACAGGTCCCGGCACTGTGCAGGCGGAAAGAGGTCCCGCCAACACGCCAAGGGATCCTTGCTGTGCGGCAGCTAGAAGTTAAAAATTGTATTTGCCTGTAGTGCCAGCTTGGAAAAATACAGCTGGGTGAATAAAGTAATTTCTCCAAAATGTTGTTGCAGGCCAATCCATCTTTTTAAAAAAAAAATTAATCTTTTGGATAGCCAAAATAGTCAAACAAAAAAATATTGTTCAACATCAAAACTTGCATTTTTGATTTTGAACACATTTAGATTAACCTTTTTTTTAAAAAAAAAAAAAAAGTTAATTGAGTCAAAGATATTTTGTAACACCAGACAAGGATTATTTTAACTTGTTTGCTTTTCCTGAAAACAGTTTATCAAAAGAGATCCCATCAAAAAAATCATACTACCAAATCTGCATTTTTCACCGCAAGTGTTTAGAGTGATAATACTTCACTCCACATTAGCTACGGGTCACCTTTCTTCGAAAGATGTGTCCCAGTTCCAAGATGCCAAAATTCTGTTCTCTGAAAACCCACAGGCCATAGTGTGTTTGATCACTATGAGCTGTCGCAGGTGCCACTGATCTTTCTGCTGGAGATGATTCCCACTCTGTAGGAAAAAAAAAAAAAAAAAAAAAAAAATATTTCATTCAATGTAGAGGGTTGTCTATACCAAGGTTTCTGCTGGAGGGAAATCTGCTTCGTGTGTGAGCTCAAAACCAGAGGTCCTGGAGCTATCTGCTCTTATCTAGCCTTTGACAGTCAGTTTCCCTGTGATGTTGGAGCACAGCATTTCACTCTCTCATCACTTTCTGTTTGCAAGATCAAGCCTATCTTACCTATTACTTTTCTTCCTGGAGTGGCTGAAGATGAATTTGTTTACAAATGCCATATGAGTGCAGACAAATCTGTCAGTAGAAAATTGTAATTCTGCATTTATGAAAATTCCAGATGTTTTCACATTTGCACTTCCATAAGGGAAGCTACTTATTTCCTTTCCTCCTTTCCCCTGCCTTTGTATCTTTACTCTGTAGCATTACCAACAAATTGCTTTTCTGAACAGGTTGTAAAATTATGCAAGAAAAAGTATGTTTCTATTCATTTATCCCCTAAGGAAAACAAAATCATTATTTTATTCTCCTTTTTGTGCGTGTGCAGTACCCTTATAAATGCAAAATTCACTGGGTGCACAAACCTTACAAAATATGAAATGCCAAATAAGAACACAGGCATTCATATCAGCAATGACACCAGATAACATGCCTGGTATATATGACAGTTTTAAAGCCTGTCTGCTTTAGAGTCCAACTTCAGGGCAGCCTCAATTGTTTTTGAGGTGTGGGACTAATCCATACACCTGACAGGCCCAACAGCCATTTCATCTGCATTCAGAGGTGTGTTTTGGAAAAGCCAGCTGTCAAGCAGATGTGGTCACTTGTGAACAGTTCAAAAAATGGCACTAAAACATTAACAAACTTCTAAGAGAACAATTAATTTAGTGACATTCCTCATCAAAAGCAATTCCTAATGTCACTCTGACACACATAAGATATGCAGTGTAATCAACGCATGCAAACATGCAATAAATTGTTCAAACCATTACTTTTCTAGATTTAGGGAAGTTGCCATTTGGCTAAACATTATTTTAAAGCGATGCCTGCTATTACATCCTATTTTCTTTTTTCTACTTCTACAGTATAGGAAAAAGAGACTCTTCTGAAGCATTGGGAGAGCCTTTTATTCTGCTTGCTGTGACTGTAGCAAGCTCTGCTTTACTCAGCTGATCTTGAAAGTGTCTGCAGTACATACTCATCAGCTGCCCTGATGACTACATTTGCCTAATCTCAGTCTACAAGGCAGGGAAGCAGAAGCCAGACTTGGGAAAGGAGGCTTCCCTCGACTGCAGTTGCTGGAGCTGGACATTTTAACCCCAGCTGAGGACTAATCAGCTCTCTATCTTCAGAAATGTTATTTGACCAGTATAAATGACATAAACCAAGATCATCATCTTAGTTTATTTTTCTAGAGTCCTTAGCATGCTACATTAACCTGACAATGCTTAATCTGGTGTTCATTTCACTATACACTTCATGCAATTCACAGCTGTAATTGGTTTTACACTGACATTACACGTTTCGACCTAGCCATGGGAAAAGAATAACTCTTAATATTATTTCTCTGAAAAGTGTCCAAGCTCAAATGGCACAGAAGCAGCTCATGCTAGTTTCATGTGCATATTTCTTTCTTCTGCCTTTTCTTTCACTGCAAAGATGATCACTGGCATAAGATTGTAAGGTCCTTGTTTTAGTCCATTTGCAATTGAACTACGTTTGTTTGATTTCTTATGTCCTGAGGGGTTCTCTCTTATAAAACAGCATTCAAGTATTCTAGTTTAACATCCCCATTTTTCTGAGTTAAGGAACAAAGTAGACCTTGGGCTTCTGTTACCATTACGAGTCTTCCAGAGTCCCATAACTGATAGCCGTAAAGTCTTCCTTTGTAACACACTCAGCACTAAAGCCAGAGTATTGCTATTTGGCATTATCCAGTGAAGTGCAAGAAATTAAATAAGTTATGTCTTTATTGCTATAGTACAGTACCAAGCAAAGTCTCTTTTTAATACAATTGCAAAGGTTCCGTAGAGAACGTGTCCCTCCTCTTAGGGCCCAGTAGTTCAGCTGCACTGCAAGTATCACTTAGCTATCACGTGATGAATGTCAGACTAAGAAGATGTGTTGAGTATTCTTGAGTCTGAAGAATCAGACCTTTCTTCGTACTCATCTTCTGTGTAAATTGGTTGCTTAGACACAATAGGACACCCTTCATCAGGGATTGAGATCCTAGGATCTTCTGATGAGCGGGAAGGAAGGACAGGCGAGCTTCGGAAAACGCTGGCTGAGTTGCTAGAGAAAGGACTGACATACTGGGACCGCAGCTGGTACTGCTGCTGCAGCGTCATGGTGTTCCACAGGGTGACATCATTGGGAAGGAACGGGCTGGACTGGTTTCTTGCCAAAGTGTTCCTCAGCATCAGCGGGTAACGTGGTGGCTGAGGGAAAGGGTGCTGCAAAGGTACGGCCAGAGGATTTGGCACGACATTACTGGAATCAGCAGAGAACCTCAATGTGTCAGGAACCCTAAATGCTGAGCCCACAGACCACTTGGAAGAGGAAATGGGGTACGAACTCAGCGTGTGTTCAAAAATGTGCCCGTTGGAAGGCAAAACAAGACCATCAGATTCTGCAGAAGTTCTCTCTCCACTGGCCACCGAAGACCGACTGGACAGGAGAACCTCTACAGCACTCACCAGATCACCACCACACCCCTTCAGGATCAACTCCAGCACAGTTGGCTTTTGGTTAGGGAAGATCTTTTTCAAGACTTCGAGTGGAGGTCTGTTGGCTTTCAAACTGAAAGGTAAAGAAACTGTCCCAGAAGGACCTTCTATCAGGAGGTGGTTCTGCTCTGGGTGGTACTTGGGGCTGTCTGGACGGCTCTCTGTGCTCCCACCATTTTTCTGAACTGCATAACCAACCTCATCCACTGAAACAATTTCAGGGCTTTCAGGGGTAAAGCAACTTTTGGCTTTAGTCATGTCTGGTGAACTCCTTTGGTCTGTGTCTTTGTCACTGTAGGTCTCAGCATTGTCTGCTCCACTAGCATCACCCAACCGCTCCTCATTCATGTCTGCAAAGAGAAGGCAGAGAAGTTAATGACAAACTGAAGTCAAAAGCTTTTACGGACATTTGAGGATACAGTCTTCTGAAAGTGAACAGAGCAGGACCCCAGGGAGGGAAAAAAGCATTTTTCACAGAGATGCTGCTAAAATTAAGGTCTCTCTGCAACATCTCATGAGAACAAAATTCCAAAAGAATAATGTGACCTGGTCTAGGCATTTTGTGCTGCCTTATAGATATCTGTCTCATTCTCCCATGTGCAAGAAAAGAAGCAGTGGTCATTTTTCTGCTATATCAACCCTTTCTCACTAGATATAAGGCAGCAAAACACCATCTAAGTGCAAGCTTTCACAGAGGAACTTCAGCACTTTCACATCATAATTCCTCACTAGTATCATATCACTGACTGTGAGCTGAAGATATCCAGAGAGCACTTGGGAACCCAAAATTTCCCCCTGCGAGTCCAACAGCTTTGGTGGAACCCCTCCATCATGACTACTGGCTGCAGGTTAAAGAAGTCTTCAAATAAATCAGTGTATTCGAGTTCTGGCTCTGCAGAAACCGGTTCCTTTCCCAGCAAGAATCACAGGCTTTTCCATCAATCTCTGGAGCACAGCTGATGCCTTGGCTTGTTATAGCACAGAATCTAGAAAAATCTGGTTCGGAGAGGACCTCTGGAAGGCATCTGGTCCAACCTCCCGTTCAAAGCAAGAGTGACCTAAAATATAGAGCAGGTTGCTCATGTCCCTGCTCATCTGAATTTTGAATAATTCCAAGGCTGAAGACTCCACAACCTCTCTCGGGACATGTTCCAAATACCTTGCTTTTTATTTGCTAAACTAAGAAGGGCAAGAGCTGAGCATAGGGCTGAAAACAAGCCCATTGACCACACTGTCTAAAGGTGGACACTCAAAAACAGAGATACCCCAAGTCTCTGGTCACTTTGGTAGCACCCAGCCAGAGTATGAAAACCTTTGAAATAAGACTGCTTGTCAGAAAGAAGAAGAAGAGAAGAAGAAAGATTGACAGCTTTCACAGTTTAGGCACAAGAGGAGCAATGTACTTGCTTCAGATTGTTCACAGTAATTTCCCAAGGACGCTGTTCTGCTGGCCTTCTTCATACAGCAAAATAATGATCTCCCTGGCAAGCACCAATGTCTGGGGAAAGGCTCGTTGTCCACGGTGTGGCTGAGAGCTTGCTTTAACTGCACAGGGAAGTGCTTTTGAACACACATGTGAAAGACTATCTGCAGAAGACAATTCAACTCTTTGCCTCTTTCCTAAGCCCCTCATGATCAGCCCAGATAAAGAAGCTGTAAGAAGCAAGCACAGGCTTCCATAATGTGCTGATGACCACCCCTGCCCAGTCAAGATGAAAGAAGTTAAAGATGTGCAAGCGCCTGAGCCTCGCTGCTCACCACACGGTCCTGCCTCCCCCTCACCCCAGGAACAGGCAGGGCGTTTCCGCACGCGGCAGGCTGTTTCGTGTTGAACAGATCAGCTCTGGGACAAACTATTTACCCACCTGAGAAAGGAGTCAGGGTCTGAGCAAGCCTGCGCTGAGTGAGAAGCCACTATGCTCACCAGAATGGGAGTTTTAAATAAATGTGAGATCCTGGCAGAGCACAGCCTGACAGTCAGCATGGCAAAGGGAGGTTCTCCTCGTGAGAATGGCTGTGCCAGGCAGAAATGATGGGTCATCCTACAGAGCTGTGGGATGCTGCTAGAAGGTGAGCATGGGAGTGGAGCTGAACAATACAGATGTGCTTCTGAAGATCTTGCTCTTTTTTAGCAGGATAACCTGTTTTGGGTACCCATTTTTATATTGGTTATGCTCTCTGTCCAGTACAAATGCAGAAGCAATTAACCTTTCATGCAGGTATATTACAGAGAAGGTAATGTATGTATGCTTTTCTTTATACACTCAGTGCATCAGTCTTGCTTTAGCAGCCGAAGGAGAATGCAGGAAATGTTTGCTGGTAGCAAACTGGCAAAGTGTATCCTTTTGAAGAGATGATGAAACCTCGGTATAGCTCACCCATTATTTGAAAAAAACCATGAGGCTCACACTACCTTTCCCTCGTAATCCCGTCACATGTTCATAATCAGAAATTTATTACAAAAGGCAGGATACTAAGAATAATTCACATCTGAGCAAATGGCCAATTTATACATAGAGGGCTTACTAGGCAGTCTGAGGACAGCTAATTACCCCTGTCCCCGTCTTGCCAGAGTTAAGAAAGGCATTTAAGGGAGACGATGGTCCTAATTTCCACATAAATAGATTGCACGGTGGTACCCAATATTACCAAATGGACCACATGCAGGTAGAGACTATTTCACAACTACTGTGCTTTTCCAGTGTATCTTTATAGCCTGATAACAAGTACCACTGGGGAGGAAATATATGCTAAAAAAACCCTCAAACAAACCAACAACCAGATTAGATCTCCCTAATACACTCCCTGATCCTTACAAATTATAATTTTCAAATTATTATTTTCAAGATATTTCAGGTTTGTTTAGTTTTCAGTACCATCAAAAGCATCCTTACGGGGCTTGGCTAAAAATTTTCTGAACACTGATCCCACCGAAGTTTGCATCTTTGTCATTAGGAGACCACACAGATCCCGATTCCTGGTCTTGCACAGGGACAGCCTCCTCGTACAGCACAGACCATAGCGGTGCATCTCACCAGTAGTTAGGCTCATAGGGTCAGACCCGTAAAACGAGATTTCGGTGATTTAAATCAAATGCTGCTATTACCACAAGGAGAATTATCCTCCGCTCGTAAACACTGAGTTTGGATTTTTTTATTTTTTTTTTCTTTCTCTCTCTTCTTTTTTGAGACCATTTTTCGCTGTCGGTGTCAGGAGTTTTTTCTCGGCGTGCCCCGGCCCCGGGCTGCGGCGGTGTCAGACACCCCGGGTGCCCCAGGCGGGTCGGAAGCTGCCGGCGTCCCGGAGGGCTCCCGATGCTGTCCTGCCTGGCAGGTCGTGCTTTGGCTGTGCTTTTTCCTCCTCTGAACACCACTTCCCCACCACGGTCACGGCGCGGGGAGGGCCAGGTGGAAAGTGTGCTCCGGGGACTGTCCCCACCTCTTCGTGGGGATGGCGAGATCAGGTTTTTCGTTTGTTTAAAACGGGCACAAAGCAGCAATCGCTAAATAAACAACGATTCGGGAAGATATATTATAAATGTCCTTACGTGGGCATTGAATTGTGGAAATATTTCATGCATGTATTAATCCCAAATATCTATATTTTCAGGAACCAAAATACTAATTTTATGTTCAGAATATAAAACGCGCTGCTTTTAGCCAAAGGTATTATTTGCAGCACTCCTGAGTTTCACATGAGGATGTTTTAGGCTTTAAGAAAGAAATCTCATTCCCAGACATTTTTTTTTGTTTGTGGGACTTGGGTGGTTTGAGTTTTTTTTCCTCACACCTGCTATTTCAAATTGCCTATATTCAGATATTCACTTTGCAAGCCCTGAGGAAACAAGGGAAATTATTTTTTTATCGATATAAACGATGGGGGTTATTCATCAAATAATGTGCACGCAGAGACAGATACATACCCCGATCTGCAGAGACGCAGTGGAAATACAGATACACATGAAACACAATACAGTGGGAGAACCGTGCATGCATTCACGGTAAAATCTACATTAACAAATAAAGCTGCTACGAATTTGGAGCAATGTATAACCCAATGTTTCCTTGCCTATTTATACATTAAGGATCATGAGGCAAATATTGTAAAGGAGCCAAAAAAAAAAAAAAAAAAAAAAAAAAAGTAAAACGCATGAGTGAGAGAAGCTGTTCTCTTCAAGTTATTAACTTGTCTGGAAAACTTGGTCTAATACTTTGGAACTAAATTTGCTTCCTTGATATTCCCACCGCTGACTGTCTGTTAAAATAGCTTGCACTTTGATTGTTACGACAGCTCTTTCTGCAACACAGATTTTCTTGGATCACCAAAACATCTGCTATTTTCCCTATTTCTATTATTAGAATGGACTGATACCAGAACTAGCATAAAGCCACATAAAGTTAAGGTTGTGTAAAACTTACGGGGGGGGTTGTTGGGTTTGGAGAGGTTTTTTGGTTTTGTTTTTTTAAAATTAGTTTCACTCCAGACTTTCTACCCTATCTTCAAAGGCCTAAGGTACTTTGTAGGAGACTAATCATAATTCCCGAACTAACACAGAGACTGCTGTGTTGCATTAAAAAGCTGGTTCTAAAATTAAGAGGAGACTCAATGTAGCGTTGTATTAACACTTTACAAGCCTGGATAACCATTACTAAGAGAAATGTGACACGCGCCCTTGTGGGGGATGAACGTTCATGAGCACAGTATCAGGAGGAGGAATCATTCCGGGTTAGCACAGGCAGGTGCAACAGGGGTAGTTTCTAGGCGCTTTGTTTGCGTAGAGCAGAACTTTACAACTCTCCAATCGAAATGACCAATTCTGGCACGAAAAACAATAAACAGATCTGATTCTACCGTATCTCGGAAAATACGTCTTCCGTACTGAAAAAAATAAAAAAAAAAAAACAAACCAAAACCAAAAAACCCAACCAAACCACCTTTCACGAGATCAGTGTCCTGGGGAGGTAAAATCAGGGTGGGCTGGAGGAGCAAATAATTACATATTTTATTCTGACGACGGTTTTAATAAAGGTAGCGGGGAGAGATGGAAGAGAAAGAGAAAGCCCTGCAGCTCAGAGCGCGCAGGACGGTCTGAAATAAACAGGTTATCTGATTAAACGGTTTCTGGTGGTGACAGGCGGACCCCCCCGAGGAGAAAACGTTCCGCTTTGCTCTCACATATTCCCATGTTCATAAAAGCGAGGAGGGGGGGACGGACGGACGGACACACGGACACGAACCACCTCTGTAACAGTCGGAGACTGGGGACCGCCCGGGTGACTTCTGTGCAAACCAGGGCTGCTTCTCGGCACCCCCGGTCTCGGGGTGCCCCGGCCCCCCTCAACCCCGCCTCACCGCGGGCGGGGGCAGGGGCCTGCGCCGGG